GACAAGGTGTGCACGGGAATGATGTATTCTGCGAAATAGCAGTAGTTGCAGGGGGGATTTAATTTAATTTTTATAGTGCCAGTTCCACCAATTTATACTAGCAAGTAGATAGCAATGACTTCAAACCCTCATTTAAATAAAAAAGGAGAAATTTTCCAAGAGGAAATGATGTCATTGCCTATTGACTGCTCTAGTTTTTTGTGTGTTTTCTTTTCCTTTTTTGTTTTTTTTTTTTCCTTTTTAATGCAGTGCTAATTACCTGAAGGTTAAATGCACAGTGTYGATTAAGTTTTGGGTTGCAAGTTCTTGTTTGATGATATACAAAGTATCTTGCACTTGTTTTTGAGATTGTCAGGRATGACTACGCTGTTTTCCTGAAGAGCATGTGAGGAATTGAGGAGAGCTACAATTCGTCTTGTCTCTTAGGTGCTGACAGTACTTTAATTCCGTATGACTTGTCTGCTGTATCACTTAGTAAGACACAAAATTGCTCAAATCAATGGCTTAGACTTTTATCACAGTCAAAAATGAGAAATAATCTCTTCAGCAAAACTGGGCTCTGCTGCTTTTATATGTAGAGGGTTGTGCTTTGTTTAAAAACTGAGCTTGGCAGGATTTGTCCTTTCAGAAATCCTAGTTAGGCTAAATATTTTTCTATTTACTTAATAAACGCACCTTAAGCGAATGTKTCATTTAACACTCCATTAAGAAATGTCTTAGTAAATAAGTAAATAAGTGGCAGACAAAGTCCCAAGTGGGAGCTGAAGTTTGGTCAAAAAGCAGCCTGCCCAGAGGGAGGAGAGAGCGCCACAGGAGCCGTGAAACCTGCTGCTCTCCTGTGACACCTCCCAGGTGAAGGGGGAGCGAGGGGGCTGCCCTTCAGCCTGTACAGTTCTTCCCTATTTATTAACAAATGCTTTCAGTTTTTGAAATCTTAGTTCTGTATTGCTGGTGCCCACAATTAAAGCTGAGCTGTGATAGGAGTCATTTAGAAATGACTTATCCGTGACGGAGCTGTTGTTTCGGACTTGTGTAACTGCCAGTGACWCTGTGGTGGAGTTTGGAGGAGCAATTGGCTTTTCTGCTGTCTATATTCGTGTGGAGGGAAGTTGTTTTGAAGGATTAATCTGTTCTAGGTAAACAGTATTGGATTTTTTTGTGTGTGTTTTAATCGTATTAAGAAAGGTTGTGCTTTAAAACTCCTACCACGTTTTCCGTGACTGACAAGATTGCTAGAAAGAGATGGTGGTGGAGGGGTTGTTTTTAAAGGAGGGATTTTTGTTGTTGCTTTTGAAGGAACGGTTAATTTCAGGTTGATGAGTAGGTGATTTGTTGGGCTTTTGGGGTCAATTATGCATAGAGAGGAGAGCAAATAGTTTTAAAATAATGTCATTGTAGTGACTCAGTAGGTGTRGGAAACTCCTGTTATAAGCAGTTCTTGCAAAACAGATTTTTTCAGCAGGATGTTGGCGTAACTGGTTCTTCTCTGGAGATCTGAGGTATAAAACGTGCCTTTTGAAGAACGCTCCAATGTGTTTTAAATCTCATACARGGAGATCTCTCAAGTTCATCGAAAGAGTGTCAAGGAGCCTTAGGCTTTATGTTGTGGCATGGTCATGAATATTTGAGACCAGAAGTTTAATGCAGACAGTTCTTATTCCTTTAGATTAGCCTACCACAAACTGGGATTTAATTTATAATCTCGTTGGTTGCTTAACAGAAAATGGTACTTAGTTTGTTAGTAACTTTTTTTTAAGACTTCCTGCATGTTATCCAGCACTTTTGGTTACACAGATGATGCTTCAGAATACCTGTTTAACAGACTTGATGCTGTATTTGCACACGCACATAGACTGTAACGTATTGCATGAAAATTAAATACTTGGCTCCTCTCTGTTCTGGGTTGTTCCAGGCACCATTTTGAAATCAGATGCTGGAGTACCTATTGCAGCCACTGCTTCAAAATCTATCAACAGGCATTATTTGAGTTTTCAACTCTGGCAGTTTGGAGTGTGCTTCTTCCTCCGAAACAAAACAAAAAAGTCTAGACACTGTATCACGAATCAGCAAGGTTTGCAGATTTGCCTGGAATTAAAGTTCCTGTAAATCTGGGTAATTTGCCTCTGTTTGCCTTGGAATACCCAGAACTTTTTAATGAAAAGTCACCTCAAAACCCACCCTTGGAAAGGCGGTCAGCAGTGCCTGCTGGGACAAGCGCAGAAGCTGTGGAGCGGCCTCCCTCTGCTGCCTTCCACGGCAGCCTTCAGGGCCTTCTGTGCTCTGGCAGCTCCCGAGTTAAAGGCACATCTGCATGTGAAGTTCCTTGTGGAATTTTCTTTTTTCCTGTGATTTGTCCAGCTGCATGAACTTTAAACTTAATTGTGCATTTTTTTTGAAAAATAACTTTTACTTTGCTTTGAAGTTGCCCTTTTCTGTCTTCCCTAAATGTTCTCTAAGTCTGTGGGGAGCAGCGAAAAGTTGTTCCATATCTACCTTTTCTGTGTCATTCCTGATCCTGTGGGCATCTGGCCTTTTCCCCATTTCATTTCTTTTTCTTGCAACTGTGTAGGTGTTCTTGCCATAGAAACTGTCTATCTTCCCTAAGTTGCTACTTTCTGCATTTTTCTAGCTCTGCTGTATTGGAAGGAGAAAACAGAACTGCGCACATAACTGATTTGATATGGACTTTTTGTGACAGACTTTTCTGTTTTAATCTGTATGGCTTTTTAATAGCTCTGATTGCTCAGTTTTATTTCCTAGCCAGCTCGGTGCTAAGACACTGTTACTGCCCTGGCCCATTCTGACATAAATCCAGATTTGAGTCCTTGAGTGCTCCATGTACAGATCCACATGGCTGAATTGGAGATTCTTCCACTGTGGGCTGCTTTGCCCCTCCTGTGGCTGCCAGAACGAGGGGAATATCCTTGTGGTGCTCGGATGGAGAGGAGTTCCTACAAGACAGGAATTACTCAGTTAGGATTTGAAGGAGGCTGCAGTACTGTAAGAAATAACAACTGGCCAGTTAATTTGAAAAACATCTGACCTTTGCATGTTTTTCCTTTTCCATTTTATTGGCTTAGCTTTTAGGAAAGTGGTATTTGGAAATAAAATAATAAAGCTAGTTGTCCAAGAATAAACCAGACAAAGGAATGAAGTAAAAGAAGAGTATTAAACTTGGAGTTTAGTTTGTAACCTTTTTCCTCAGCAAGTGTGCACTTCTTTACTTTCTTCCTTTCAATTAGCCTGTGTATTCTTCAAACAATCCTTTGGCAGCTGCATGCTCTTCAAGCATTTCAGTTTGTCTAGAGCTTGCAGTAAGATTCAGAGAACTGTGACAGAAAAAACATGAAACTATCTACACTGCATCAGAAAAATGAACCATGAAGTTCCTGCAAAAATCCCTGGAGGGACCTGCCTCTGGCCCGCACGTTTCTGAGATGTGTTCTGCTGTGGTGACTCTGCTAGCACCTCTTTCTGCAGCACACACGTCTGCTGACTTGGGTCACATGGAAAATAGCCGAAATAAAGTATTTATTTTGTTCAGGCTAAAAATTCTGAGCTTTCTTGTGTGCACTAGTTGTGCAGTGAACAAAACAGTTGCTTAGTTGCTTCTTTACACTTTCTCTCCTTTGACATCCCTAGTTTGTGTAAGAAGTAAATAGTACTGTGACCATTCCTTGTTTTTTTTTTCCGTCTTGAATGCCCTCTTACACAARGTAGTGTAAACATCTAATTTGAAACATGACTCATTTAGTTGATGCTGGAACAAGGGTGCTATCTGATTCTTCTTGAAGAAGAGATGATTGTCATAACACCCTTGAATCAAACTTGAATAGGCAGGACCTGGCTGGTTGGCKTAAGCCTTCTCTTATTGTAGGACACAAGCAAGAGGTTTGCACACATGCAAATGAAAAGTTGCCAATGTAAGAAAACTGTTTTGTTGGCAATAAATAACTAAGCCCTTCAAAACACTTGCAGTCAGTTTAAAAAAAAAAAAAAAACCCTCTTATTAGCTCATGCCACCACAGCTGCTATGAGCTACCTTCAGGCTGGGACAGGCGTTATTGTCAGCTATGTATGACCCACTTTTTGAGTATTTCTTTGTTAAATTAAAGTCTACTAATTCTGGAGCCATGCTGTGAAAAGTATATTGGTTGTCTGAGCCAAATCTTAACTGAGAGCTGTACTCCAGGTGCCTCCTCTTGGCTGTGTCGGCTGTTAGGGTGCAAGAGCAGTAGACGCTTGTTTTTCACATTTACGTGTRTTTGTATTAGATGTGTATTAGATGTACATGTGCACATATGTATTAGATGTGTAGATTGTATTAGATGTTTGTGATTAAGGGGCACAAAAGGAATACTGAACGTCATGCTAATTAGGATCTACTTTTATTTTTTGGGGGTATAAATGGTTTTCTTTTTTTTTTTAAGGTGTGACGGGTTTTTATGCTGTAGGAACCGCAATGGGAATTGTGGCTAGCTAAAAATAGCATTTATGGGTTTTTTTGTTTAGTAGTGCCTTACATAAAGCAAGCTAGAAGTGGTATGTAGCAGTAAAAGAGAGAAGCATCATGTTTATGCCAGAATTTAATCTGCAAGACTTTTTTTTTTTTTAAACAAGATGAGAAGCCAGAAGATTAACCTGTCCATGGAGACTTTTCAGGCTTTAATTTCTAAAACGTTTGTTATGTTTAATACCTATAAATTAAACAGAAACTTGAAAAGGGATCTCCATGATAATTTTAATTTCAGAGAACCATTGAACAAAACCATATAATGGGAATATTACTAACTTCCAATGTACTCAGGTCCCTTCCTTTCCTGAAACCTGGAATTTTGTGTGTAACTAATGAAARGAAACCTTGTTTTGTTCTGTTGCGTGCTAGTGAAGGATTAGTAAATTATGAAGCTTGTTTAGCTTAAAGATGATGGCTTACCATAGACATAATTAGAGACTTTGTATTTAATGTGCTTTTTTTTCTTGTTGTTTTGTTTAGTGGGAGACTTTGATAAGATCTGGCGTGAGCACTGTGAGGATGAGGAGACACTGAGCGAATACGCTGTGGCAATGAAAAACTTGGCAGATAATCACTGGGCCAAAACTTGTGAAGGGGAAGGCCGAATTGAATGGTGCTGCAGGTAATTCTTAATGTATTTGAAAGATACAGTTGCATATTTTTACTAGCAATCATTTATAGTACAAGGCTTAAATGTTTTCCTGACTCTTTTTGCCATTTTTACAAATCTGTATGTAAAATGTCAAGTCTTATTGCTTCATAAAACAAAAAAGCCTTTTCTGCTGTTGCAACTTAAAAGGAAACAATTCATATGCTATGGTTTCTTAATCATCTGAGATATTTTAAGTGTTAYTTTCAGCAAATATATATATATACAAATATATACATTTTTAATATACATATATAAATACATGCAGCTGTTGCTTATGAAGTAATTTCATACCTTCTTGCCTGAATGWAAGCTGGACAAATACAGAAGATGTACCTTAAGTCTAATTTACAGGACTGTTTTGATTTGGTTTGTGTGTATAAATATAGTAGTGTTTGACCTCTAAATATAAAGCCTTGCCACTAAGTTTCCAAGGCCTAATCATTTGCAATGAACTTTAAACACATGAAACTTGTTTAAAATGGGAAGCCTGCTAATGACAACCCAATAAATATTAGAGATTTAAGTCATGAATTGAGTTTTATTCAACTGTTTTAATCCCTGAGGAAACTAATCYCTAAAAGAGGAGAGATTTGTCGCTAGGATTCCTAAACGGAGGTGGTGTCTCAGGCATATAATGGAATCTGTGCCTCAGAATAAAACCAAATGTTGTTGGAATCTAACCTTGGAAAGAACTAATCCCTAGCCCCAGCTTCAGAGATGGCTTTAGATGTATGTGGAAGATGCTGCAGCCCCTCTAGTCTCAGAGAGATAAGATGTCTAGATGTTTGAAAGCCTTTCCATTTTCTATTGTGATCTTTAGATCTCAAATAGATTAGGTATTAAGAAAGTAATATTCTGTTCAAGTCTGTTGTTCCCTGTGGGTGTCTGTTGCAAAATGGTGAGCAAAGGGCACTGAAAAGCAGGCATCTCATCACTAAATTTAGATTTGTTACAATTTTCTAGTGTGCATCACTTCAGTGGCATCTAGAGCTGTTTTTTCTGCTGGGAATGGAGCAAGTAATAACAAGTTTATTTCCTTTCTCTCTACCACAGAGATATAACACTTCAAGCATTTGAAATCCATTTTTTCAGTACTTTGTTTTTATTCTTTATTCTTTATTCTTATTCTTTTTATTATTTTTTAAGTATTTTCTTTTTATTTCAGTACCACCTCCTAGATCCTATTTTCTGGTTGCAGTTCATGTATCCCCGTCCCAAGTCCCAAGAAGTGAATCACTTGGAAACAAATRGAGCCAAAATTGGACATTATCCCACTGGCTTCGTCAGGGATATGTGAAATGGAAAAATACTACTGAGGTTGCAGTAAATTCTTGTTTGCCTAGATTTATGCTCACTTATGATACACAAGTGCCAGTCTCTGTTTTACAGGCTCCCTTAGCTGCAAGTTGTTTTCTTGTACTTGTGCCATTCATTACTTCTCTGGAACTGTTGACTATTGTGCTCTTTACTAAATCATCTTCTCTTGAATCATTTTGCATTCTAATACTGCAGTTTCTTGCAGCACCTTCTTCTGTCTGGCTTGGCATCATTCACAGATCAATTAAAAGGGGGACACACTGTTGCAATGCTCAAGCTATCTGAAAATACTAATTGTACTAGACCCAGGAAGAGATTCCCGTGGAACATTGCTTGATATTTTCTTACAATTTGACCACAAACTGATATGTTTAACTTCTTCACTAGAGTTATTTGAGCTTACTTTAAAGTAATTTCAGCTAACCGGTGTATTCCCTTATTTTGTGCCGATGCTTGTGTCCTGTTAGGACAAGATAAATGTTGCTTGTGTACGCTGGAGAAACAGCTGATAACCTCTACCTGAAGCTTTCTGGCTTTGCCTGAAGGTTTCACTTGTTTGTAGTTTCTGCAAGATTTACAAAGCAAATGGTTGAAGAAGGCAATAAGTTCGGGCTCTGCATCATGAGCTTGTATTAAAGAGAATCGCCTTGGTGAAAAAAACATTAAAACGTACTATTTTAGTATAAAACTCCAAATAAGGCACATGCCCTTTTAGTTTGCAAAGTTAAGTGGTAAAGAGATCTAAGTCTGTAGAAGGAGGTTACTTTTCACTTCTGTGTGTCTCTTGGATTAAAGTGAGGCCTGTGTAGCTAGATACTGGGATGCAATGTTTTGTCCCTCCTTGGAGGGCTAGGAGGGCTCCAGCCAGAGGGAAGGCAGGTCCCCTTGTCGTTACTCCTCCCTGTGTTCGGTTGCTTCGTTGCATGCAAGAGAACTTGACTGGCACCAGCCTCCAGTGAGAGCTCTTGCTCCATGCCTCAGCCTTGCCTCTGCATGGTAGGTAGGTAGCAGGACAGTAGCTCATGTGTTAAATTTCAGTTGGAAGCTCGAAATCCTAGAAAGCCAAATGTACAGCCCTGTAGCACTGTGTGATAGACTCTGCAGGCCATATACTGCCTCATGTAGGGCCAGTTTGCTYTCATGTATTGCTTCAGGACAACTCTCAAGACTTTGGCTTGAGAGGACAACTCTCAACTTAACTAAGTGGGGAGGAGTGCTTTGAATTTTGTCCCATTTCGTATGCACGTTGGTGATCCCTTGGGTTCTCGYGTAAAAATCTTGAACTTGGTAGTCCTTTCTTTGCTTTCTTATCTTTAGAAAACTGAAGACGGAGTAGCAAATTGTAGTTGGAAATTAGCACTTGTGTTGCTCTTCTGTTTCTTTTTATTACAGTGTAAATCCTAAACCAATGTAAGATAAGATGATGTTTAGACCAAACAATTATTCTAACCCTTATTTTTTGCTGGCATAGGTAGGCTAGTCAACCTTTGTGCAGACAGTGAACGCTGCCCTGTTCTGGTTMGAGTTAGAACAAAATAAGCCAGACCAGCAGATTTGTTTCTTTCTGTTGCTTTTGCATCAGTGTTAAGACTTCTGTTGACTYGGCTATTTTTTTTAAATAAAAAACAATCCACTTCTCTTCTAATTAACCCAAAATTGCTATTGTGAATCTGCCGGTTTTAAAAAGTTGTTTGACAGTTCTATAAAAAGAAGGGCCTTGATCAGATTATTGTAGGGTAAATATAGACTGCTTGGAAAAATGTGGAAAAAATTATTTTAAACAGGATATATTGAGTAGGGCTCTGTAAGTATCCATATGCATTTATTAGTAACCAATATTTTCATTAGCAATCTACTAAAATGCAGAATCTGTTTATTACATTTTCAAATTAGAACACGAAGTTTGAGAACAAGATTAGAAGTAAGAATGATATTACCGACTATATCAGTTATAGTAATACAAGAGGGGGAGTAAATTGGTTATATGTCAGTGCCTATAGAAAAGCATTTGGATTTTATAGCACATCACAAACTGAATATGAAACAGTCTTGGGATACTTTTGCAATAAAGGCAGGCACAGTACTGGAGTATATAAATAAGAAAATAGTTTGAGAGATATGTAAAGTATTCTTTTGACTTTATTTAGCATTTGGCAGTTTTTAGCCTTCTCTTCTTTTGACTCAACAGGTTCAAGTTCTAGAAAAAAAATTAGGCTTTTGTGGTGAAAGAAAAGGAAAATATATGAGCATTTCTTTATCTTTATTGGAGCTGAGCTGCATTTTTCTTGCAATGCATCAGCCAAGGTGATACTTTGGCTAAGTCATGTGTTCCAGGGATTTGGAGAATAACAGGTTTCTGCTAGAATTAGAAAGTTGATCCTGGGGTTGAAAGATGGATTAAATGAGTGTTTGAAGTTCCTTCAGCACTATATATATATATATAAATATATATATATATATATATAAATATACACACACTATATAATATAAAAATATATAAAATATAATATTAATATATAATATAAAAATATATAAAATATGTGTTTTTAAATGATGAATTTTGCCTAGAAGTTTACTTTCTCTGGGTAAAAAGCGGGGCGGGGGGAGGAATATGATTTAGAAATGAAAACAGACTTCCAAGTTCTTGGAATCTTCCAGCAGTGCAGGATACTGCATCTAAAAGCTGGTCTCAGATTGGAAAACAACACCAGAGAAACAGCTGATGACAGACMGGTTATATTTCTTAAAAAGAAAATATCTAAAAAAGCTAGAAATCAGATCAAATATGAAAAATAAAGTGCAAAAAATGGAGGTTTCCTTAGTACAGGTTTCATTAGTTGAAATTTAACAAGAGGTAGTTAACATAATTACAGTACTTCAGATTGAGAAACCTGCTGTTGTCACATGTTCTGAATTTCCTTAACCTAAAGCTGTGTGCTCCTCACAATAATGGAATGTTTTCTGGTACAGAAATACAGACGTGAACTTTTCTGCTCTCCCAGTTAGGGTTAATGTATACAAGGAAAGTTAACAATTATACCTACCTTAATATTTATTTTTCTTTAACGTTTGGAGGGTGAGATAATGGCATCTTTAAGATTTTGTGTCATTAGAGGCTCTTAAACTTAGGAAAAGGCTATCATAAATTGCTTTTGGCCCAAGTACAAGTTGACCATATTAATGCTAATTTAGTTTTTATAATCTTGTCAGAAAGATCTGGCTACTAATTCATTTCCATTTCTCAACTTTTCTCCAAAGRATGTGTGTTCATATCAACTCAGACCGAAGCTATTTAGAGTGTCCAACCCAAGTACAGGGATTCTTTTCAACTTGAGCAAGTTGTTTACAATTTGAGGGTTTTAAGTATGAAAAACAAGTTTCCCTGTGAAAATACCAAGTGTTTTTTAAAGCAAAGACATGACTTGGGCAATTCACCTGTCTTTCTGCCAGCAGACTTAAATAGTTTAAAACTGAAATGTTTATTTCTACAGTCAGTAAGTCTCAGCTTAAATTTCACAACTCCTTATAAACAAGTATGTTAATTGTAAAACTAAAGATGTATCATCAAAGACTGTTTAAGTGTCAGTTAAAAGTGGAGTTATGACAGTTCCCAGATTAATAAAATAGATTCCTTAATTTTATTTCTCTTTGTAAATAATTAAGGGATGTTCTGCTCATTACCCRAGACAGCTGTTAAGTGCAGAGTCTCAGGTAACTGTGTGCTCAAAAGCACATGTGAGCAATTGCAGGTTATAATAGCTGTAAAGCTGAACTTTTTGGCTACATCAACAAGTTAACATGAGGAAAGGTGCTGCATGGAATAAATTTCATTATGACCTTTTCAGTAGCTAATCAAATATACTCATATGGGTATGAGTGCCCATATGCTGCCTTGTACTCCATGGTAAATGAAGGGAAATTTAGCCCCCTTCTCTGGAGTGAGAGCACAGAGAGCTCCTGGAAGGCCATAGGAGCCAGCGTGGCAACAAATAGCAGTTCTGTCAGAGTTCCTGTAGCCCCAGGAATACCGAAATGGAGAGGACCCTTCGTGAGTGAGTTAGTTGAACTCATTTGGCAAGACAAGGTAGAAAGAGAAACTAGCAGTTGGCCATAATAACAGCGGGCAGGGAAAAATAATTTCTTCATGGTGGCAAGAGAGTGGATGCCACGTTTTTAAAGTATCCTGTTCTCCTCCTGTACAGCAGCACCCTGACAACGTGCCAGCTTCTAGTGAGTTAACAAGGAGATAACATCAGGAGTTGAGGAGAGCAAACAGTGTTTCCCTGTGACTGTGGCCTTTCTGATATCTTCCGGCCTGCATGTCGATATTGATAGCTGTGTGACATTATTTCAACTGCCACTGATTCAAAATACTTTAAGAGATAATAAGAAAAAAAGACCTTTTTAGAATAAAAATGAAGTCATTAAGCAAGATGCTAACAAGCTAATAAGGTACTGTATATATACTCTATATATATTAAAAATGTGTTTTCTTTCAGACTAAATAACACACAGAACTAAACAGCTATGAAAGACATAATCCCACATTGATTATATGCTTATGAACAAATAATTACCATATATATAGCGTAAAATGCAACTACTACATCAGCAATAATTCAGATATTGTTCTGGGGTTGAGGTTTTTTGTTTGCTTTAAAGTGTTACCTCTTTCAGACAAACTAAACAACAGACTTCAACTGTTTTTTGATTGGTTGTTTCTCAGAATCAGAGAACAGTTGAGGTTGGAAGGGACCCCCTTGGAGATCTCRTTGTCCAACCTTCCTGCTCACACACCTACAGCACAGTGCCCAGGACTGTGTCCAGGCAGACTTTGAGCATCTCCAAGGATGGAGAGCACAAAGTCTCTCTGGGCAACCAGTTCCAGTGCTCAGTAAAGTGAACAGTAAAGACATTTGTCCATGTTCACATGAACCTTTCTGCATTTCAGCTTGTGCCTGTTGCCTCTCATCCTATCACTGGGCACTACTGAAAAGTCACCCCATCCTCTTTCCATCATCTCTTCAGATCTTTCTACACATGGATGCAGCAGGACTCYCGGGTCTCTGCAGAGCTGCTCTCCCCTGCCTGTGCTCTCTGGTGGAGTTAGGGCAATTTCACAGCAGATGTGTTGGGGTTGCTGTAGCCTGGGCTCGTGTTCAGGCCTCTCTGTGATCCTGTTCCATGCGGTTCAAATGCAGATCTCTTACTTTCCCAACTTCTCCTTGATGTGAAAAACACATTGGTCACTGTGGAATTGTAACTATAAAGTTGTTGGTTATGAATGTAATTTTGACTATTTTGCTCACGTGGCCGTGACTTCTACTTAAGGTTATTGTGTGCATTTTATATTAAGTGCAAGGATGCCTAGGGCCTGCTTGAGCAAGTAAAACTTGCCTGTGCTTTGAGATTATTAGACACAGGTCAGTCTTGATCTTGAGGCCATACAACCACGCTGTCACAGAAATGTGTCCAAGGTAACTTATTTTTTCCCCTCAGAGCAAAGAATTAATAACCTGAACACAAGGTGCTACCGTAGTTACATGTTTCATGGTTGAAAGCTGGTTCCTTCCTGCCAGCTGGGAATAAAACARCCTCTGTTTGTACCTGTTTAGTTGTGTGTTTCCCTGTACAAAGCTTGACTTTACTGACTTATTTGTGCATGTTATATGGAGGAGATTGGATATATTTGGTGCCTAGAAGATAATTATCCTTCAGATGAGACCTGAATATTTTAAGTTGTCCTCTCCATTGTTGATTAAATGTGGTGTTATACCAGCATATGCTTACCTGAGTCTTAAGTAATATGAAATACTATATTATCTTGATCCTGTTTCATATAAGCCCTTATTAAATTAAAGTTGGATTTGTGTTTGCTGGAATGTAACCTTCAAAGCTCTGCAGCTTTGTCAGAGGAAAATTGAATTTGCTTTCAAAACAGCATCATAAACAATTGCTGTCATGAAAACATTCAAACAAGTACAATTTTTGTTATTTTTTTTCATGCAAATACTTGACTGGCACATCTAATTAAAAATGCTGTGTTGTACAAGGTGTCAGGCTTTTTAATTTCACAGCAACAAATTGTTTCCAATTCTAGATCTRTTTTGTGGACACAACTCAGTTATTCTCTGGAATACACTCGTACACTGCTGCTGGTTAAAGGATGCCTGTGCAATTTAACTTGCTTTTTGATAATGTTGGTTCCTTTAAACTGGTTAACCTTTCTGCTCGTTATGGCCCAAAAACCACAGATAAGCCCCTGCAGTTATGGGGGGCTCATTGCTGACCGCAGGGGAGGGCTGTGGCGTGTCCACGTGTGCAATGTGATGGCTCAAGCTGCCTTCTCCTGATGCTGTGGCAAGACCTCCACTGGCTTCCTCCACAAGCCTGCCCAGCCAACACTCATTTGAATCTRTTTACTTAACTGGGACTTACGGCCACATTCTTGGCACTGAAGTAACACTCTTGATTTCAAGTGTGTTTGGTTGTATCCYGTCTTTTTCCAACCTGATTAATCAAAGTCAAGTTTGGAGTAGAGTGCAGTCAGTTTAGCTTAAAAGCTGACAGCACACTTATCTTTTAAACCTGGCTCATGTCATACATTGATGATGATAATGATAAAATTGTTCTGTTTTGGGAAAACCTTTTCTTTTCCTCTCTCTTTTTAGTGTATGTCGTGAATATTTTCAGAATGGTGGAAAAAGAAAAGCACTCGAAAAAGATGAAAAAAGAGCACTTCTTGCTTCTAAGACCACTCCAGCCTTAAGTGTTTCCCAGGCTCCCAAGATTGAAGAACCTTTGCCAACATTTAGCCTGACAAATCATGAAGCTGTAACGGAGGAGTAAGTTTTACCTGCCTTGGAGACTCTTTTCTCATTGTGTGATAAGATTATCTATTTTCCTCTGATATTAGTCAGCCTGACACAATTGTAATAGCTACAGGTATTTTCATTGAATGTATGTGTATATATATACATATATATATATATGTATATATATATACACACATATATATATATACACACACACACACACACACACATATTTCAAAAAATACTTACATGGTAGTGTCTTTTGGATGCCATAAAATAGCTTGGGAAGGACAATTTAGTCATCTTCATTCAACTGTCAAAACAATTTTGCTTTTGCCTGCCATTGGCCTCAGTGCAATTTATATTAAAGTTTGAGGTGGAATAAGGGAGGTGTTAATTAAGTTAAAATATAATGGCTGTTCAGCATTGTTGAAAAGACAATTGCTTATGTAAGTAYTAAGGGCCTAAATGTAAATATTAGAGTACTTAAAACTTTCTTTTCAAAAATAATYATGGAGAAACTCTTGATTCCAATTATATACATGAAAAGGATTCTTGAATTATAACCACTAATTTTAGATGTGATCATTGGCTTTGATGTCCTTGAGGTATTTTCTTAACAAAGGTTTTAATTTTGTCTTGCACCTTAGCTGAAATATGAATTTTATTCTTGGTGTTCTGGAGTGTCCTTTGCCTATTACTTTCTCCCTCTCTCTTTCYTTTTTTYCTACTTTATTTGAGGGCGTTTCTTTATTACTGTACCAACCCATTTTTTCCCAAATATCATAGAACACATTAGTAGCTTGCTAATGTGTGTCGGGGAGAATTTCATACATTGCCTGTATAATGGAATAATGAAGGCAAAAGCGTGTGGTGGTRGAATGCTGCTTGTATGACTCAATTTATATTCTCCACAGACCACCTCTTGCCACTGTCTGAAGTAGGACCAAAGTGGTGTATTGATTCTGTGCTGTGAAGAGATTTTCTCATCGCAGCGTCTTGCCTCCTGTGAGCAGCACTTCAGGGCAGATGTAGCGTTGATTAGAAAAGTGGCAAGCACGTTACCAGTGCTTATTAGCAAATGTCTTTGTAGCCTTATCAGGTGGCATTTTGTGGTTGSTGTTTGTAGAATAACTTGCAGATGCTGTAAAGATCTCATGCTCACGTAGCTGAATAGTTGGAAGCAAAATGAAAACACTTTCCCTTCTGTGGTTTCTATTATGACAAGGCAACAGATGCTTCCAGAATGAAGGTAATAGTTTCCCATAATAAGTTTGCCTCTCTTTATTTTCCTTCCATTTTCTTTTTTTTTCTTTCCTCTCCCCTTTTAGTGCAAATACTGCTAAATCAACCCAAGAATGAATACTTGCTTTTAATGAGAACCATCAAGCACATTCTCACAGAAGACCGATTACATGTTAATACCTTAGAGCATCTAAATAAGGCTAACATTTATTAACATATAATTTCAACATTAAATAGCTTTTCGTTGCTACGCAGTTGTTTAAAGGATTGCTTTGGTGATCAGACACTACTTCGAGCTGATTTGTTTTCCAGTCCAAGGTCTTGTCATGATACAGCGTTTTACCCTCTGTGTCTCTTTGTGCATCATGCAGAGGTCCCCACTGCAGAGGGAACTACACRTGAATGTGTTTGTTTTGCTGTCTCTCGCCTTAGCTTTTGATCTAATCAGCATGGGTAGGAAGGTTTTCATTTCATAACTTTAAAAGTATTGGTTAATTTAGCCATGGGTGATGGTCTTCAGATTTTCTCCAACCTGAAAAGTGCRCGTGCATTGACACGCCCGTAGGTGACAAAGGGCAGATTCCAGAGCCTCGCCCAGGAACCAGCAAGTGGGAGCCGTGTTTTCAGCAGCTGTGCAGGCCTTGGAGCAGYGAGGCCAAGCGGTTAAATTAGTGTCCAGAGAAGCTAAAATTCATTCACTTTCTATAATTTCCTCTATGAAGTACAAAGTTATCTTGGGCATCTCTGTACAAAGTAACATTSTTTTCAGTGTTTCCTCCCATTCTAGAATCAGTTTCATTTAGCCAACATCACATTTCTAACACTCAACCTGTCATGAAGCTGGCCTTCAAAGTGATTCAGTCTTACAAGACAAAAACAACTCTTATCTGCTGTTTGACACTCGTTCCTTTCAACAAATCAGTCCCTTTTGCTTAATTTTTGAGTCCAGTTTTTCTTCTTTTTCCCTTAAGCTGACCTAAAGGTACCCTAGCTTAATGGTAGGGATAATGACTTCTTCAGTACGTTTGTTTTTTCACTTGTCCTGGTTTGACTGTCTCTTGAGGTGCACCCTACAATTCCTTCTTTCCTCTTGGTTGCATAACTATGCTCTGTTTGTTTATCTATCTACACTGAGAGTTAGCAGCCTGAGAACTGTTATTAAGCAATTCATTACACTTGTGCTCTGAGAGGCAGCTAATGCTGACAGCCAGCAGCAGAGCGGACACACAAGTGAGCATCTCAATAACTGCTACGTACAAGTTTTCCAAGTCCATCTGCAGTGGACGCAGGCYGCCAATTGCCTCCGAGGTGGTGCCGCTGTCCGAGTGAGGACGGGAGCTTCTCCCCCTTGAGGCCAGCGCCTTGGCTGAGCTCAGCAGGGCTGGTGTGGGCGCCTCTGCTGCACGGTGACTGCAGGCAGTGCTGCCCTCGGCAGCAGCGCGACAGGAGCCTGTGCCCGGCCAGGAGCCGCGCGGCAGCCGGGCCCTTCGCAGAGAGAGCAGCCGGGGAGGCTGCGACGCGCCCGGGCCCGCTCTGCGAGCGGAGCGGGCTCTCCTGGAGAGCAGAGGGCTCTGGTTTGCATTATTTTCTTTTAATCTGTTTGGGTATTGCATCTAGCCTTTTAAATTGAATTTTATTGCCCTTTTTCTCTAAGGGAAGCTTTTTCTGCACTGAGCTATGGAGCCCCAGTATTCCTGYATATTTTGTTTTCTCTGGCCACATGCGATTTCCATTCATTTGCTACATAGAAGGCAAGCTTACGTACAATTGCAGGTGTTTTTGTTCGAATGAAAAAATACAGTGAAAAGTGACTTTTGCTTTTAGTTTCTGCATCATCTTTTCATTTGTTGGCTTCATTAATCTGCTGTTGGTATCGGCAGCCACTAGACAGGATGCTGTTCTGAGCAGCCCTGGACGAAGCCTTCACGGAAAGAGAAATGACTTCGGCCCTTGTAATCTATGGCTATTAGCATCCCTATGCTCCTCTAAAATTCAAACTCCTGTTGTACAGGGTGCCTTGAGTTTGGTAGCCAAACTGGGAAGAAAATCATTGTCACCTTCATTCTGAAATCTCACTCTGTTCTGACCAGCTTGCTGACAAATCTGGTGCTTTGTTCTGTTTTAATTGAGAATTAGAGATATTATTATTATTTTATTATATTATTATAATTATTGTAAGAGCCGTTAGCCTTGTTGTGGGTTGCAGTTCGACAGAAACATCCCATGGATATCTTCTATTCCATGTAGAAGCAAAATCTTTAAACTTGGCATTATCTTACTGAATTACAAGGGTTGTTCTTGCACTTCAGCAAGAACATCCTTTCTGTTGGGAGTTGAGGAGGAGTTTTAAGGAGAAACCTAGAGAGCTCAGATCTCCTTTTCAAAGAAGGTGTCTGCTGTATTTTGTGTTCCTGCTCTTTATTGTTGCTCTCAGTCCARCCGTGGTTTCACTGGACACCACTGGCTGGGTACATGGATTTCTGGAAGTTTTTTCCAGTCATCTGTGTCCCCAGGGCTGAATGTTTCCCAGAAAGATGACACAGGCTATTTTAGAGGAGGCAGCTGAGCTTCGAGACAGACGTTTGAAGCAAATAGGAACATTTTCTTGCTAGCAAGTTGTTCTCCTCCCTGTTGGAGCCATGAATTCACCTTTGTTGCTCTTTGTTAATGGATTTTACATATCCTAGGATTTTAATAATTGCAATAGAAATGTTTATATGCCATCTGCATTTATATGCAGCTGATCCAAGAAAAAGAGCTCGAACTCTTTGGCACTGCTGGCCTAACCAGTTATTCCTGACTGTGTAGTATATACATATATATATATATATATATATATATATAAAAAATATACTTTTTTCATGCTTAGATGCATTTATCTGCATCATGTTTTAAAGAGTAGGGAGATACAGGTAGGTGTCTGCTAGCAGACTTGAGCAGAATTCTGCTCAAGAACATCAAGAAGTTCTTGATGTGAGTGTAACTGAGTGCAGACTCTTGTCCTTATAGAGGGACAGTTTGGGCAGCATGTCAAAGAAGTGCCAGGAGGAGGCAAAATTTTTAGTTGCAATGGGATAGGTGAATATAAGTACTTCTGTACAGTTGTATAGATCTTATCTGTACCACTATATATGGAGTGGCAGCTGCACTAGGCATCATGAAATTGCCTTTTGTTGCAAGCTGGAGGACCACAAATGTTCCTCTGGGCATTGGTCAAGGAGGGCTACTTAGCGTTAAGTTTAAATGTTGGGTTGTTTAGATAAAAATATAGGGAATAATTACATACTTCCATTTTTAGAGATTTTGTTTTGTTTATTTCATAACACTGTTGTGTGTCATGTCTTTGTTAAATCAGCTTGCAGCGCTTGACACCAGGTGCCCTTTAAAATGGAAAAGACAAATTGGTAGTATTGAAAGTTTCTTGTTGAACTCCTGATATTGTGACAGAGGTAACTTGTGTGACTTAAGACATATGGTTAAAAAAATCAAAATAATAATAAAAACGGAAGATAAAATAGGGAAAGACAGGGTAAACTGATCAACCTGAATAACAGGCACCCATACAGCCTTTTAGTTTGTTACTACAAGTTGCACAAATCACAATTATTACAGTATTAATAACTGAGGACCATCTGCTTTACTGTTGGGGCTTGGTTTTTGTATGCACATCAGCAATTTAAACAATGCATTAATTTCTATTAGTCACTATTGGAGAACACTACAAGTTGTTTTTCTGTATTAGTTTGCTGAAACTGTGATGTTTTTTATTGCTTTTTAGATTGCTCCACTCCTTGGGAAAGATCAGATTACTCGATGTTGGTAGCTGCTTTAATCCATTTCTGAAGTTTGAAGAATTTCTGACAGTTGGCATAGATATTGTTCCAGCTGTTGAGGTATGTAATATACTTGTTGAATTAATATTTTGTTTCCTTCTCAGATATTTTAGATTCTTTTTTAAGTTTTTTTTAAATGCATATTTAATACTTAAATATTTATCCTAAATATCCTTGCTCTGAGTTGTGGTCTTCTTACCACCTCCATTCATATGAACAAGTACCAGGGTTTAGTAATAGAGAGCTCAAATCATAGAATCCATAAGGTTGGAAGGGACCTTTAGAGATCATCTAGTCCAAACTCTTGCACGTGCAGGTCACCTAGAGCATCATTTTATTTAAAATGATTCATATTTTTGAGTTACACCTTTTATAATATTTTTGTGGTTCTCAAGTTTTGGAAGGTGTTTGTAGCAATCTTTTAATAGCATTTCACATTAAGTTCTTGCATCTTAAAAGTTCTCAAAATGTAAGTAGATTTATGCTTGAAGGGTTTCTCTCAGAGACTGYGTTTACTGGCAGAAAGAAATGATCAGTGGGGACAATTCTGAGGGAAAGGGTGTTAATAAGTGGGGCCTTTCAGTTTATTGCTGCAAATATTATTGATCTTTCTTGGTGCTGCAGATAAGTGTATCAGCTTAGGATGCCTTTTCTTGCAAATACTATGGAGTAAATAGCTGCATTTGCTCTGAAATACATTTGCTATTTGCTTCTGAAATACATTTTGTCTTTTGTCTTTCCCTCTTAACCTGACCTTTGTGAGTCCAAGTGTGATTGACTAACAAAGCAATATGGCAAATGGGCCACAAATAATGGAGTGTGTATCTTTTTGCGGGGGGAGGAGAGAGGAAATTTTATCATTTGCATTTTGACGCCTTCTACATAGTTGGATTTTTGTAACAGGCTGTATAACGATTAGTGGCCAGAAGCAGAGCAGAGGAGAAGAATTGCCTAACGGTGCAATAACAGTTAACTTGGAAAGTACTGCTGCCCTACAACGGGACGGGYGGTATTTGGTGCACAGTGTGATTTACATGCAAATATGGCTTGTATTTTGTTGTGGTCACCAGGCCTACTCTGCTAAATGCCTAACTGATACCTTCATATGCCTGGTGCTAATGAAGGATTCCAGAAAAATCTTTTTTTCTTTCTTTACGTAATTCAATGCTAATTTCAACTAAAACATAAAGAAACTTTGAATGGACTTCATCTTGTCTAATGTGAGGGATTAGCATTAGCTGCCYAAACATATTTGCATACATTGATGAGGCAGCAAYGTGCCCTTGTGGCCAAGATGGCCAATAGTATCCAGGRTGCACCAGGAAGAGCGTTGCCAGCAGGTCTAGGGAGATGATCTTCSCCCTCCACTCAGCCCTGATGAGGCCACCTCTGGAATATGGGCTCCTGTCCTGGGCCCCCAGTACAAGAAGGACATGGAGCCACTGGAGAGAGCCCAGTAGAGCTACGTGAGGGGGCTGGAGCGTCTCTGCTGTGAGGAGAGGCTGAGAGAGCCGGGCCTGTTCAGCCTGAAGAAGAGATGGCTGAGAGGGGATCTGATCCAGTCCTTAAGGGAGGGTGTCAGGATGGGGGCAGGTGGTGGCCAACGATAAGACAAGAGGCMACGGCCACAGTCTGAAGTACGGGAAGTTCCACCCGAATTTGAGGGAAAATGTTTTAACTTCACCATGAGGGTGACAGAGCCCTGGAACAAGCTGCCCAGAGAAGTTGTGGAGGCTCCTTGTCTGGAGATACTCAAAACCCACCTGGATGCTACCCTRTGCCACATGCATAGAYTGTGCGAGACTGTGGAGACTGTGTTTGTGCAGGGGATTTGGACTGGATAATCTCCCATGGTTCATTCCAACCTCAACCAGCCTACGATTCTGTGATATTCCTTAAGATGTCTCAGGACATCTGAGAAGCCTACACAGGTGAGCATGTCACAGGATGCAAAGGAGCTGCCTATGCAGTGGAGCAGCAGCCTAAGGCATCGGAAATGGGAACATGTGGCAATTAAATTGCCAGGTGAGGCGCATCTAGGTATCTACATCTAAGGGAGGTGTCTGGGTTCCCACTGCAGGCAGTGAAGTCTAGTCATAAAGTAATCACTGACACCCCAATGTTTGCTGCTTCACAGTGAGGTGACTCACATCCTCACCTCACGCGCTGCTTTGACCGGCTCTCGGTGACTAATGGGAGCTCACACACCTGTGTGGCACGAGCAGAATCCAGTTCTCAGATGTACATAGTAAATAATCTGCTATGCAATCTGTCATGAWAGTTTCATAAGAAAACTACTTTTTTTCCTAATTCATGAAAATGAGTTGAAATTTAAAGTGACCAAAACCATAATCAGAAAACTCCCAGCTAGGTTATTCTGTGGATGTAATGGAGGATGTGAGTAACCCAGGCCAGGTAATAGGAAAAGGGGTAGTCAGGAAGCTGCAATTCCTGTATACTGACCAGTTTTTCAGGATGTGTCAGGGCAAAATGGGGTGATAAGGCCCTGAATTCTTGCCTTCTGCAGCAGCAGTAACACCCCGGGGTGGTGGGGCTTGCAGCAGGGCTGCTGTGYGGGTCCACAGGGTCACTGCAGGCCCGTGTGCGCCTGAGCAGCTCCCTGGTGCCCGTCTCGTGGGGACTCCGGGGTGGCTGGTGCTGTAGCTGGCGAGCAGGGACATGGGGGTGCTCTGTGCCCCGCTCACACCTGCCATGCACACTAAGGACCCGTTCCAAAATGGAGCTGATGAGTCTGAGATTCCTGTTTCCAGCTTGGCCAGCCCTGCAGCATCCTGAATAAACGTGTCTGTAGGTCACTAATGGCCTATTCAGAATAGCAGTCCCAGCTCTTCTCTTCAGATGTGTATGTGCTACATCTAACTTAGTAACTTCACTTAGAAGTAACACTTATGTTACCCAAAAAAATGTACTTTGAAGTACTGCTTTAACAGTTGTAGCTTCATGATATCTATTAATACATTTTAATTTCCTATGCTAAATATCACAAGGAAGCAGAAAGTAGCCCTGCAGGTATAGTGGTTGCAATTAAAATATTAAAATTGCTTGATCATAGCCACATAATGCAACTCTTTTTTTTTTTTTACACAAGTGACCAAGATTAAAGCCAGTGAAAAATAAATCACAGATTTGGGAGACACTGACTATTTATTTCTGCTTAATCTCTGAAGCTAAAATGATTTTATGAGAACAAAAATAATGTCTTCTACTTGCAGATAGTTGTGTATGTGAATTGGTTTATAAATACCTTTACAATGGTATTACCTTTTTCATTATTGTTTTGTAAAATGTACTATAAGTGTTTTGGGGGTATGAAAATGCATTAGATTTAACTACCTTTTAGCGGTGCTTAACAGATTTTTTTTTTCTGTTTTTATTTTCACTTTTTTTTTTAGAAATCTGTCATTCATTGTAGATTCTCTAGTCACAAATACTATTTTTTTAATACTTTTGAATTGAAATATTTCATCTTAAACATCATTTTCAATAAGAGAAGTCAATCCCAGGTATTGTTGACTATGCAGTGTYAAAGTAAATAGTAATATTACTTTTAGATTATATTTTTGAGAATGTGCTATGATTGAGGATGTTACGAACTTAYTTGGTATGTTATTTTGTTGTCATTTCCTGTCTTTGATGGCTTGGGCACACAGAAGATCAGCTGATGAATTTAGAGCCTTTCTGTTTCATGGTAACTGCCCCCCAAGTGCTGGTTCTAGTCGTGGATTCAAGTCCTTACTGCAGAGCAGCTCCCTGGCAGTCACTCCCAATACAGCCGCGCTCGCCGGAGCTGCTTCCTGTTCCTGCACCACCACATCATGTGGTCAATTTTATTTCYTAATCACTGATATCAAGTTTATGAAAAATATGATCTAGATTTTTTCTTTTTTTAAAGAATTATATTATTTTGTGCTGTTGCCACATTTGAGTATGCAACYGTACTGACGTGGCAGTACGGAATACTGGAATACTGGAATACTGGGAAGACGGGGAAATTTGGTAGTTGGTATGGGGTGATTTTAGCTTCCAACTTCTGCAGAAACAAAAGCAATGGAGTCTCTCTCCCTCTTTTTTTCTTTTTCACACATGACAAACATTTTGTTAGGGCTAATCTGCTATATTCATTTTTAAAAAATGAGCTGTTCTTATAGCTATCAAATCTCCAATAAATTGTTCCTCATCTAAAAATTTTCTTTGCAACTCTGCCAGCTATCACATGCTATTTTAAAATCAGTATTTTGATCTACTAGCAAGAGTAATTTTTTCAGCAGACTTGAAATATCCTCAAGGGAACAAAGGGATCTGTTTATGATGATTATCCTGTGGATTTGAATTGTTAATTCTCCTTTAAACTAATCTTGATTTGTTTGGCTTTTTCTTTTCTGTTTTGTTTTTCCYCACTAGAGTGTATACAAATGTGACTTCTTAAATCTTCAAATTCAGCAACCTCTCCAACTGGCACAAGATGCTATAGATGCCTTTCTTAAGCAACTGAAAAATCCCATTGATTCTCTACCCGGAGAACTGTTCCACGTCGTCGTTTTTTCCCTCCTCCTTTCTTACTTCCCATCGCCCTATCAACGATGGATATGCTGCAAGAAGGCCCATGAACTTCTCGTATTAAATGGCTTATTGCTCGTAATCACTCCTGACTCATCCCACCAGAATCGCCGTGCAATGATGATGAAAAGCTGGAAAATTGCCATAGAATCGTTGGGCTTTAAACGCTTCAAGTATTCTAAGTTTTCTCATATGCATCTGATGGCATTTAGGAAAACCTCCCTGCAAACAACAAGTGACTTAGTTAGCAGGAACTACCCAGGAATGTTGTATATCCCACAGGATTTCAACAGCATAGAAGAGGAGGAGTATTCCAACACTTCCTGCTATGTCCGGTCGGATACAGAAGATGAGCAGCTCGCTTACGGATTTACGGAGCTGCCCGATGCTCCGTACGACTCGGACTCTGGAGAAAGCCAATCTAGTTCCATCCCTTTTTATGAGCTGGAAGACCCTATATTGCTTCTAAGTTAGTGTAGTAGTTGAAAAGCCCTTTCAGTCGAGCCTCTTGCTTAACTAATTTTGCTGTACTAACAAACATGGGCTCAACACACAAAAACGGTCTGCATAAAGATGCAAAGGTTTACAGAGTTTGCTATTTTTTTCTACTTTTGACTTTTAGAATTTATTCTTGTATCAAAGTGAAAAATACAAGTTTTATGCAAATGACTCAGGTCATAGCATAAATTGCTGTTACTTTCTTTGCAATTTATCACTAATTTTTTTCTTCCAGAAAGGTACCATTCTTTTCTTTAGTGCTGTGAAGTGTGAATTCTATTTAATATGCTAAATGTTTCAATATTTTAACTGTTAGTGTTGTTGAGCTTAAGGCACTGGAGTTGGTGGGCTTTGGAGGAGTTTATGTAGGAAGAAATAATTTGCACTTTAATTACATGTGCAGATGGTTTAAGACACTTGGTTACACATGTCCTTGAATCATGGAACAAAGCTCTTTTTGCAAAAACTTATTTCTCCAGCCCAGATGCAACTAGAGTGAAATTGTAACGCTTGCACATTTGATTTTTACCTCCACTGCAGCCTTCTTGAGGTAACACCAAATCAACGTGACACCCAAACATTTGGAATACATTCATCCATAGTTATTCCCACTGTGTAACTTCATTTCCCTAAGCGGCAGGTAGGCAGGGGAATGGTGACGAGGTTACCCCCACAGCAGTGTTGAGGACAGCCTCTGAGGTTACCCTCACAGAGGACAATTAGGCTGCACTTCAAAGCTCCRAGGTGGTTTTGCACTTTTGATTGTGCTACCACTAATGTGCATCAGTATTTCCCCAATGATGGTGTTCTCCTTTCTATCCAGACTGTGAGGTTTGAGGGAAACAGGGTGGTTTCTGTCAAGTTTTAAACTATTTATGCTTTTTTTWAAAAAAACACAACTGTTTAAGTGTCCTTTGCTGTTGACCTCCCAGGTTATAACTGCAGGCYAATTCTGTAAAAGCAACCTAATTGTGTAAGTTTTTCAAGGCTGCACCTATGTGCTCAAAGAAGTAGATTTGGACCACGTATACCAGTGAAATGAACATACATGGGTTTGCTTATTTGGACCCCAATTTTATGTATGGTTATATGAAAAATAGCTTTCTGAAAACTGCTCTGCAATGTAACAAGCTGGAGGTTGTGTTTTATGTTCATGAAGGTGTTTTTTTTAATTGTGTGACTAATTTATGTTTTTTTGGGAGAGGGTGGAAGTTCTRTTCAGAGGTGTAGAAATAGAGGATTCAGTATTAATTTAGCTTAGATTGCCCTCCATTTAGAAAGAGTGGCCAGCAATTTCAGGTTTGTGAGCTTGAGTTTTACTAAATCTGTATGGGAACACCTAATCACACATGGTTCAACCTGGTTGCCACATCATGGATTTCATACTGACTTCAGGAACATGGTAGAAAATACTAACAARTAGTTTCACAAATGGCTGGATACCTTGCACCGTTTTGTTAGATTAACCTGCCACTCTGGAGTTGGAATCCTGAAGTTACCATGTGAACTGCAGTTTTACTGTGGCATTCACAGTGGTTACTATAAAGACAAAACTAACCCCTTCCATTCAAGTTTTGCACTGAAGGGTCACAGTTTGCCTATTTTCCTATAAAAAGTCATCCTATATTGGTCATATTTTCACTAAAACATGAACTGTACTGCAGGGTTTTGTTCTTTTAAGTTTTTTTTCTCTTGCACATAAATTTAATGTATTCCTTAATATTTGAATGGAATTTGTTATTGAATGGCATCATGGCATGGAAAATAATTATATTTTGAGGTGTAAAACTGAAGATTAGGCTCCAAAACAAAGATCATAGTTGATTGTTAACGTTTTCTACTGAAAATATTAACAGAGTTGCACTATGGATGTACAGTGAACTAGAACTCAGTGCTTGCAGCTAACGTTTAAAGTTCACTTGCACTRAAGTGCTTGTTAGTCAAAACCTTTTTTCTTCCCAGAAACTACTGACTCCAGCAATGCTCATGTGAAAGCTAAAATATGGGTGCTGTTAATTCAGTTGTTTACAGAAATTTAATTTGTGCATACATCAAAGTGTGCCTAATATTTTAATTAAAAATATTCCTTTTGAAGTTATTTACCAACTACCATAAATGTTGGCATTGTTCAATATAATTTGGGTTGTGATTTGTACAGATAAGCAGTGCAGTTCAAAATTTACCAGAAATAACTTTAAATTGACTAACACTTACAATTTAGAGCTATTTGGCAACTTGGTGACACCATTTTATTTGTGCTTTAGGGACCAGAGGAACATGGAAGTTAGTTCTCTTGCTGCTCATTCTAAATACCTGAAGTGTTTTCTTTGGGAGTTTCTGCATGTTTGTTTTCCTCAGTGGACAGYGGGTTGCAGTGGAGGAGGAATGTGGAATTTACAGGAATATTTAAACCTCTCTGTAAACAGTACGGTGGCAATAGCAGGAGTTTTGTAGTATTTGCCTTTGATGCAAGAAGAATATCTGTAGATTATGAAGTGTTTCAAAATCATAACTCAAGAGGAGATGAGGAAGATTTCTGAAGATTTCTCATCCATATGGTTTTGGGGACAAAAGGAAAAAATGTGTATTTGCATTTCTGTTGTCTTTATATCACTACTTTTTGTGAACAAAGCACATTTATTAAAAAAAAAAAGGAAAAAAGAAAACCTTTTCTCACCTTTTTATAAACTGTTTGGGGTGAGCTTGTTTGCTTTGTTTTTTTCTCTCCCTTTTCCCTCCTTGGAGTCCAGTAAAATCAGTGCATAGCCTTTTCCTTTCCTATTCCTTTCCTTTCCTTTTCCTATTTTCAAGAAAACACATGTGCTGAGTATATTTTTATCAAAAATGGAATTATAGTAAAGATGTTTAATTTGGTACTTTGAATTCACCTTTTCTATATCAAGTTTTGGTCCCTGCTTTATGAAAGGGTTTGTGACATAGGATTAACTGTTTTCTGACACARGATTAACTGGAGGAATTCCACTTTTTCTTTGCCTGCCTCCTTAAACTGCCACCRCTGCTCACACCGGTCCCCTCTTCCCACCCTTGGTGCATCTGTTTGTGCTCTGAACTTCCCCTCTACCTTTCCGGCATCTCCCTTGGCAGCTCCTGCAGTACATTTGCCCTTGGAGGTTGTTGGTGTATTTTCCTGTGCGGTGGTTGTGGGATTGGAGGGGTCAGAAAAGGAAGGCAGTGAGAAAAGCAACCGCCAGAGCCCCAGGGCTCCCAGTCCCAGGGAAATCTCTGCGGAGCCGGCGTGCGGCTCCAGGGACTCGCTGCAGACCACGGCTCTTGCGCTCTGGTCTCTCACTTCACAGCAAAGTTCAAAAAAACAGGATTTCACGGCTGTTCTTAATATTGCTTCCTGCATGGTCTTCCCTCCCTTCTCACTTCAGAGACACTTGCTGACTTGCCTTAAAATGTCATCATTCCAAATCCTTTTACTTCCATCTCCATGACTCAGTTCCTGGTAGCTGGGCTAAAAACATAGATTCTCTGCTCTTTCTTTCCTCATTTTAAATTCATTGCTTTAATCCCGTGTAGTACTRGGAAGATTTTTAGGAAAGCTTGGTTAAACTTCCATGGACCTTGTTTGAYTTACAAGTGATAAAACTGTGTTCTCCAAGAAGTTTAGCAAATAGTTGCTTCCGAGGCATTCTTAAATCATAGCTGAATAGGTGGAGCAGCAACTAGGTATGTCCGTGATGCTGTTAAAGCGTCTCAAGTGGGTGATTTTTCGCTAAGCAATCCACAGTTTTCTGTTAGTTAACCTCTCAGGTTTTTATTACCATGCAAGTTGGGAGCCTGTTAGGCGGGTTGTTTAAAGTGGGGTCTCCGAGGTAACTGCGGCTCCTGGCAGGGAGCTGCCCGCGGAATTCAGCCGGGAAAGCAAGCCGGGTCCGGCGGGGGTGCCAGAGCGTCCCGCTGCTGCGGCCGGGCTCGCGGCGCCAACGGCCCCGCCAACGGCCCCGCCAACGGCCCCGCCAACGGCCCCGCCAACGGCCCCGCCAACGGCGGGCGCCCCGGGCCGCGGCTGCGGCGCTGAGCCGGCCCCAAGCGTCCTGCAGCAGAAACGGGAGATAGGCCCGGCCCCACGCACCCTAGCGAGAAGTTAATAAATAAATTAAGTTAAAAATAACTAAATAACTAATGGCAGCCGCGTGCCGGCGCGGCGCCGCCCGCGAGGCCGCGGCGCGGTTTGAGCCTTCGCGCCGCCCGTAGGCGGGACGCCCTCAGCCTCAACATGGCGGCGGCGCGGCGAGGGGGGCTGGGGAGCTTCCGCGCGCCTGCGGACGGTGAGGCCGCGCCGGGCCGGGCCGGGCCGGGGCTGCACGAGCGGGACGGGACAGGCCGGGCCGGGCCGGGCCGGGTCGGGTCGGGGTCGGGGCCGGGCCGGGCCGGTCGGGCCGCCCCCCGGTGGCTGCGGGGCGGCCGCACCGAGGCTGGCGCGGCGGCCGGGGGCGCCCGCCCGCGGGAGGCTCGGCTCGGCTCGGCTCGGCCCGGGCCGGGGGGGCTGCCTCGCGGCAGCGGCCGTTAAACGGCCGTTAACGTGCRGACCGGACACCGCGTTAATAGAGACGCTCCGCGGGGGCGCTTCCTACCCCCTCATTTATTTATTTATTTATTTACTTACTTACTTACTTACTTACTTACTTACAAACGGGCCCTGGACCGGGGTGCAGCTGCGGGGAAGGGGGGCCCGGCCCGGCCCGCGCCGCCGGGAAGCCGGCCGCCCTTAAACTGCTCCCGCGGCTCCGCTTTGACCTTCTCCCAACTTCCTCGGGCGGCCCGTGGCAAAGGCTCCGCTGGGAACCTCGCTGCCTCGCGCAGAGAAAAGTTTGGGGGCGGTTTTCTGTCAAAATCTGATTTTTGGAGTCTGCTTCCGATTTTGCTTAAAAACGTAAATTTTTGCGATCYGGATGGGGAGTATTTGAAAATAGATTTTTGTTTGTTTGTTCGTTTTGTCTTTGCTGCTGTTTTTTATTTAAACATAGTTTGGTTAGATATGTAACTCRGGAGTCGCAACCTGAAATGTTGAGGATATCAGATTAAAAATAAATGAACAAATAAATAAAAACTGATTAGTCTGTGCTCAGAGCCTAAAGAGGGATAAATAACAAATGGCATAAATCAAATACTGGAAGTTGTCATTGAAAGCGTCTGTATTGCCACATTACACTAACTTGGTAGTATTTATACAMTGTGTTTAGTAAATGTCATGGAACTGCAACCTTTTCCATTGTCACCCCCCAAAATGTTCRCATATTTCAAATGAAGAGACACTAGCGTGCCCTACTAATGCACCTTCTTGCCAATKTGATAGGAAATCGGGAGGAGGAGCTCAAATTCCTGGTTCGGGTTGTGGTTTTTCACAGCCTTTCTGCTCAGCAGTTTCCTCAGTGTAAGGAATCCACCAAAAAGCAGTTAGCAAAATGTCAAAGCTTAATGATTCCCCCAGCTCCCTGAATGAAGGCAGCAAGCTGTGATAGGGGTTTTAAATGTTCTGTAGACGCTGGCTGCTCTGTTGCACTATTACCCCTTTAGGGAGCTGGGCAATTAGGTAGTTACCTCAAAAACCGTAGAGGCCTCACGTGCATCTTCTTTGYTAGGGACTGTGCCCATAACCTGAGTAATCACACACTTAGATGAACATTTTATGAAGAACTTCATGTATGATTTATGTTTTAAAATATAAGTACTACCCAGGAGTTCAGTAAATTTTAACTAAAGGAATGTGGGAGGATTATTCCTGGCCCTTTTTAATTTGTGAAACATCTCAAGAAAATTTGAGGGGCAAAAATAATGATACTGATTTTTTTTTTTCCTTGTTATATCACTGTTGTGTCTCGTCTCGCTTTCTTTGGCAGTATAGGCTCTGAACTATTTGTTCGGTGATTCCTGCTTTAGAGTTTCTWGGCACAAAAGTAGTAAAAATCTGAAATACATGTGGTTCTCTAGGTATGGAGTTCGGGTCTCAAGAAGTGTATACTCTGAGTGAAGGTACTTAGTTCTTATAGCACATTTTGTGTACGGAGTGGGCATTTGATTCAAAATACCAGTTTGTGTGCCTTTAACCAGAGAGCTTTGTACTTTGCTCCCTACAGATTTGTTTTAAGAAGACAACTATCAATAGATATAGTGAAGTGCAGGTTTTGGTGGAAGTAGAATTTCCTCACTAACTTTTTAACTTTTAATTATAGCAATTTATAATTTTGGTTAAGTGTAAACTTAGTAAGATTAAACATTAATAAGATTGCAGCAGTTCCCACATTTCAGGATGCTGTTCAGATCAGCAAGATACTTATCCCATAAAATAATAATGGTCTCTAGTGAGACTTCCCTGTCTGCGTTTTCTTTCAGTATTCCCTCTAAAAATATTACTATGTCTATTTAAAAAAAAAAAAACATTTGTTTGGCTCTGGTTAGGGGAGCTTGTGTTGTAAATATTTGTCCTGATTATTTTGTTTGTTTTCCTGGAAAAAAAATGGATTAGGGTGAGCCTGTAACACAGARATTTCATTTTACATTAAGAAAAACCAAAATTTTTGTCCCTGAATATGGCCAAGGTAGTTGATATTCCAGTGTTTCCGTTCTCCTTTTGAGAAGTAGAGACAAGTATCACTATGTAGTGTAAGACGAAAACTAACACTTCTTCTCATTCTTTTTCTAGGACTTCAGTGATTCTGGACCATTGTTTTTGAAATGCTATTACAGAAGCCGGCTCTTGTGCTGTATTTATTGGATGAAACTCAACTATTTACTCTCAGTCAAGCGGGTAAAAACCCTTAACTGCAGTTTACATGTGTAGGTCACTGCGTTACTGCGTTAGCCACTGTCTCTACGCAGCGATGACAAGGCTAGAAGAAGCAAACAGAGAAGTGAACATGCACTCGTCTGTCAGATACCTGGGCTACCTTGCCAGAATCAACTTACTCGTTGCCATTTGCATGGGCCTTTATGTCAGATGGGAGAAAACTGCAGATGCATTGATTTTGGTGATATTTATCCTGGGGCTTTTTGTTCTTGGAATTGCCAGCATCCTCTACTACTATTTTTCAATGGAAGCAGCAAGTTTGAGTCTCTCCAATCTTTGGTTTGGTTTTCTGCTTGGCCTTCTCTGTTTTCTTAACAATTCTACYTTCAAAAATGATGTGAAAGAAGAAGCTACTAAGTATTTGCTCCTTTCTGCCATTGTTTTACGGATATTATGTGCTTTGGTTGAGAGGATTTGTGGCTGTATCCATCACCGACCGACTCTGCTGACAACAGTTGAATTTTTGGAACTGGTTGGGTTTGCAATTGCCAGCACAACTATGCTGGTAGAAAAATCCATGAGCATTATTTTGTTGGTCGTGGCTTTGGCCATGTTGATTATTGACTTACGTATGAAGTCTTTTTTGGCAATTCCAAATTTGGCAATTTTTGGAGCTCTTGCATCCTTGCTGTTTTTCCCTTCTCTGAAGATTCCCACAAACCCGTTTGCCTTGGCGTGTTTCTTCAGTTGCCTGATTTCAGATCCCCTGCTCGACGTTTACTTCAGCGGGCTCTCAGTCACGGAGCGGTGGAAGCCCTACCTGTACCGTGGCAGAATTTGCAGAAGGCTTTCTGTCATCTCAATTGGAGTCGTTGAACTTATCTTTTTCGTTCTTGCAGCCTTCAAACTGGGTGACTTGGATCTCTGGTACTTTGTAATACCCGGGTTTTCTATTTTTGGAATTTTTTGGATAATCTGCCACGTTATTTTTTTGATAACCCTCTGGGGATTTCACACAAAACTAAATGACTGTCACAAGGTATACTATACCCACAGGGCCGAGAACAACAGCCTCGATAGAGTTATGGCATCTAAAGGAATGCGTCACTTCTGTTTAATTTCAGAGCAACTGGTCTTCTTCAGCCTCGTCGCAACTGCTGTGTTGGGGGCAGTATGCTGGCAGGTAAATAATGTTTTCTCTATRTTGATCTCCTTCCTGCAAGTGTTCCTGAGAATTGTTGGCTTTTCAAAATCTTTRTGACATTTGGCGTGTGCTGTGGCTCAGTACTTCAAAGTTTGTGCTGGAACCGCAGGGTTCAAAAACACATTCTTCARCTCTTCAACACTTGAACACTTTGCTGTGTGGCCTAGTGAGGCAGCTGGAGCTTACCTGCTACCTTACGCGGCCAGAATGAGAAGAGTTGATGCTTTAAGCACAAAAGAAGCATGCCAAGTATTTTAAGTTATATATTTACCTATTTGTGAAAATATCTTCCTTTTGAATTCATTGCACCATAAAATTTGTTTTCAAATTAAATCTCAGCGTTGCATCCTCACAGCGCACACTATGCTGAGGACATTTCTTRCAGACTATGGAACCACAGCAAGCTGTGTTTTAAGAACACAGTTTTCAAGAATTTCTCTTTGAACATAAGTGTTAGTGTTAAGCCAGAGACAGCTGACAAACTGGTAAACTGTTGCTATAATATGTGCTCGTGCTGCTCGATGCCTTGCTTTGCAATCTATTTATGTGTCACAGGATATATTATCTGAAAGGCTAGTTCTTAAAATTATCCAGTCTGCTTATCTTGGACTTTGAATGAAGGCCTATGTGCTTTCTTTAGCAGAAAATACACATTTCTCAAATTTCTTGTTCAGGCCCTATATTAAAGATGATGTGTAGGCAGTGTTGCAGCAGAGTGGGAGTTTGGGTTTATTTTTTAAGATGTTGATCAAAAACAACACACTTTCGTATCCCTGATGTTCCTCCAAATGTATTTACAGAAAAGGTGCTGTTGCACCTTAGAGAGAAATTAGTATTTGGAGGACAGACATGATTAAGATATAAATCAGCGTATTAACACTGRTAACTTCTGTGTTTCTGAGAATTCAGTGGTTTTTATCAAACAAAATGCAAATCATTATTGTATGATGCAAAAATATAAATCTCTTGCCATCTCTACTTTGGCTTTTTGGAGAGAGGAAGGCTCTTCTGGCGTCCTGTGGAGTCGGTGTCTGTCTGCTGGAGTTAAATACCTGCCTTGAACAGGATTTAGCTGCCTGATCGATGTGGTTTCATGCTCATCTTGCTACTGTTTCCCTTTTCATTTTGATAATTCTTTGTATCTTTGTGTATTTTTCTGTCTCTGTCATATGCCTAAAAATAATTGCAGCTGTATATATGTTTGATTATTTTCAGGCATCTCTAATTCTGAAGAAGTGCTGTTGCACTTATGCTGGACAGAGTTCACAAGACACAAGTAGGCAGTTCACTTGAAATTTTAATGCTTGTTGTTGACTAATTTCAATTTCTAGCATCTCATTTTGTAAATAGGATAAGCCGATCTTCATCATCTCTGTCTGGCACAGTATGTGTGTATTCAGTGGGAAGAGGCATAATCGAAGAGTGGGGTGGCAAAAATGAAATGCATCAAACAAACTACTCAGAAAAAATATTTCTTTTTTTCTRTAATCATTTTTTAGTAGAAAATTATAGTTACATTTCCTTTCATTTTACTTTTTTATCCCTTATTTATGGTAAAAGAACTAAAGAATTAGCTTTTGACTGACTGCAGTTGTCTCCGTCTCCAACTAGAAGCATTTCTACCTCAACCATGTGATGTTTGCCTTGCAAATCACTCTGTTGCCTATTTCATCTGCTGTCAGAAAATGAAATATGTTATCAGACATGGCTAGGACRTGGCTTGTGAATTTGCTTTTTAATGTGGTGGTTGTAAAAAGCTGTGGACTTTTCTATAGTTTTCTGGAGAGTACCAAAAYAATTGTGAATTAGAAAGCAAAGATATATAAGCATGTGGTTTGCATGATAGTAGGACATTTTATTTATTTATTTATTTTTATGGTGAAAGAAACCAGTTGTTTTTCTTCTTTATAGTGGGTAGCAACAGACCTCAGGACATTAGTTCAGAATTCTCTGCTGGACTACTTTAGTCTACTATTCATAGGAGTTTGAGCAAGCTCAATGTCACACAGCAAACAAATTTCTGCAGCAAGTGAGTGCTTTCCTTGGGATTGTTTACCGTATTTTAAAAGCTAAAGAGACAAATCAGACTGTCAGAGACTACTCTCTGTGTTTCTTTTGAGAAAAGCGGTAGTTATTGCTAAATGTTTAGTGGGTTGTTGTTTGCTTGGGATTTTTCTTAGAAATCCTTGTTGTACGAAAAAGGTAGTGACCAAGATGTAGCAAGAAAAGATCTTAGGGCTGTGTTGAGTGCCTTCCCATGAAAACATCATCTTGATGCTATTAGTAGTAAAAAAACACTATTGGGGATTGGTGTATTGGGGGATTGTTAGGAAGGACTAGATGTCACTCATTTTGTCACTGTATCAATCCATAGTAGTTTGAATAATTATGCAACTCTTAATTCCCATCTTACAGAGAAAAAAACAGGCAAAGACTCAGAGAAGGGCATCATCTAAGACATGAAACAGTTTCTGTGTAGGGATCAACTAAGCTAGGGCCATTCTATATGGAAACRATAGCTAAAGGGAGATATGATGAGCAAAAAAATATTACATGTAATATAAGGGARTACAAACAATAAGAGACTAGAAACAATCAGTTCCGAAGCAAAAACTAAGAGGAACCAAGTTGACAGGAAAAACCTCTTCATAGAGAGTCTACTTAACACAGGTAATACCTATCACAGAGCACTGTGCATGCTGAGGGCTCAAGAGAGAATTGGACAAGTTCATGGAGACAAATCCACCGAGAGTTACGTACTAYGTGGAGGCCGTGTCTGGCTCCGGAAGCCCTTTGGCCACCTCTGGTTAGAGGCTGGAGTACTCCGAAACACCACACGTACTTGGTGGTTGCATTTARAAACAGAGTAGCTGCTTTTCTGGAGGATACTCTCCGGCTGTGGCATGGTCAGCATTTGGGAATACCTCTGCTTTGGCTGGAAAGGAAAGATGCCTTGGCTTGTCAGCAGAAACTTGGTGACAGTCTTCCTTATAAATCTCCAGAAACTGTTCTGCCCCTGTCTTCACCTTCGTTTATGTAGTTTTAGTCAGGTCCATGGCCTCTTCAACACCAGGAGCTACTTGTTCAGTTCAGCAGTTGCTCATGTGCAATCAAGCCCCTGGCTGGCACTCGATGGAGCAGAAATCCTGCAAACGATGGACATGATTTCTTTCAGAGACTAATAAAATGATGAGAGATTTGCAGAGAAAGGCCTTTGAATTTGCAAGCAAAGTTCYTGGAAAGGTTTGAGGAAACCTTTTCTCAGAAACTTAAAATCAGATTTTGTTAAGCAGTCTGTGCTGAAGAAATGACACTGATTTTTTTCTGAATTACCTAAGAGCAATATTCTCCCTAGAAGGCTTGTATTTAATATTACCAAGGGAAAAACAAACCACGTCAGAGATAGGTAATACATTCAAGTACTCTGAGTACATTATCCTTGTTTATAAAGAATTTTATGGGCTGGTAAAATAATAGTGTTCATAATATATAGGAGTAACTGTACTAAAAACAGATTATTTTTTAAATAGTAAGGCTTCTTCATAGTTAACTTCCCTATTTACTTATTTGTACTTATGTTAGTATGTCAGATGAATATATGCAAATTATACAAATTAAGATACGAAATATATCCACTTTTTCTTCTGTCACTTTCTCCTTATTGTCTTGTGTTTTATTTCCCTCTTCCTCAGGTTTTATTTGCCTAGCTTTTGTATGTGTGTGTGTTTTTTCTCCTTGAGGCTCTGCTGTGTGCTCTGGCCACTCTCCATAGTTTGGCACAAATGGCACAACGAGCTGCGCCGTTCTGCATTTTTCTTCTCTCTTTCTGAGATTATCTTTACTTCCCCTCATTCTTTCCTTCCCTGTTTGGTTTTCCCTTCCTTTCTGATTTGACTTCAGTGTTTCAGTTTTTATTTCTAGGCTCATCTATAAATTTACATTTCCCCTACCATTTCAGCTCTCAGACCCTGCATTCCCCTTGCTCACCACTAGTCTTTCCTAATAGAAAACTCGCCCCATTTGCAGTCTCCTTTGCTGCTGTCTCCTTTGCCGCCTGTGCTCGAGCCCTGGCTTGGCTGCCGGCAGCTCCCGCGGGATCCCTCTGCTTTGTCCTGTCCCTCTTCGCAGTCCCTGCGGCACCAGCCTCCCTGTGACAGCAGCTCCAAGGCACCTCAGTTGGTGAAGGGGGCACCAGCTTTGCAAAGCTGTCCTCTTAACCTTGGCAGATCCCTAGCGACTTGACTGCTGTGCCTCTCCTGCCTAAGAGAGAGTGTGTGAGGGTAGACTCCATGTAAGGTCTATTCTTTTAACTAGATTTTAAACTCAGAGCATTCCCCATTATCATCATGTAAYAGGGAGTGATTGGTTGTGTTCCTTTTGCTTGTTTTTAATGTATGTCACACCAATTCAAAGGCAAATAAATGTTCTTTCTCTGCACACATTTTGCAAAATGCTGGGGACTCAGCACCGGTGTTGCTTTGGGACAAGAGAAAGAAAATATCCATTGCTACTTTAAAGAATGGAATTTCTGCTTTACCTTTCACTGTCAGAGTTTCAACATTTCAGAATTCAAACTTTTAAATTCAAATCTCAAATTGAAACTTATGTCTTTTTTACATCAAAAGCCATCTCCATTTTTGTTGTATCAAATGTACAAAGGCTAATGCATGAGCTGTGAACAGAGTGGCAGTCAGAGCCTGGCAACATAACCCATTAAGATCAGCCTGCCAGGTAATGTGAGGACTCCTTTCTTCAAAATGTTTTCTAGACTTTCTCAATGATGTCCTAATAGTCAGAATAATGTGTAATTGTTCTCCAGACACTGTTCTTTCATTAAATGATTTGTTTATAAGGATATATCCCTTGGTGGATCTGCGTTACAATTTTGTCTTTTATCTCCTCTTTATTTACCTGTAATGTGTATTTCCTGTTTTCATTTGGAATGAGACACCCTTCAGACATTTGCAGACTAGTTATCACGTTACCTTTGTTACCCATTTTCCTTCATGGAGTGCCCCTTTTTTTAAAGTTCTGTGAAATTAAACGGCAGATAGCTAAGCAGAATTGGGGGGGTATACATATATATAATGCATGTATAGTGTGTGTGTTATGTATCTTGTATAAAAAGTCTATATAGGGATATACTGTAAAAATAGGGAAATGTATTTGAGCTTGAATAGTGGAAAGCAAGGCAGAATTGTTCCTTATAAATACCCCAATGCATTTTTGTAAGTCTTACAAGTTGTATTCATTGGGTAAATGTAATCTTAGTTCATTTCTGTGTATAAATTTATTTCTGTTTTAATTAGAAGGAGTTTTCTATAGAGCTTTGTAACTGCCTTTCAAATTAAGTGAATCTAACTCTTTTCTTCCTCATTATTTCCATCAGTCATGTAGGGTTTATGGTCTATTATTAAATATTTTTCCACAATCATTCCACTTTCAGCAGTTATTTTCTCCTTAGGATTAGAGTTGCCCCATCCATAAATAATTAACCTTAGTTTGAAAATACTTCTGAGTTCTTCCTATTGCTTAAACAAAGTTCCATTTAGCAGGAAGATGAAAAACTAAGGTGTGCAGAAAGGCAGTACTGCTAACAGATCTCGCCCGTCTTTTATTGCCAGTCATTTTAGTAGCCAAGATAAGGGATTTTTCCTTTTCCAGCTTGAGCTGAGGACACAGGACGTGTTAACTAATACTCGTTTAGAAGAAGACAGCCAAAGGGAAACCAAAAAACCAAAGCAAGGCTGAAGAGAGGAGGTGGCTGCTCCCGCCTTGCAGAGAGGGCCCTGTGTGTGGGCGCTGAGCGCAGGGCCGTGCTGCAGGCTCAGCCTCGGGGCACCGAGTCCCGGTGAAGATGGGCTGAAGGYGGCAGGGGCGGACGCTCTTCGGAGCCCTGCCTCTGTGTGCGGTGCCATCTGCTCCGTGCAGAGCACTCTTCAGCTCTGCTGCCTTCAGCAAGGCTCTGTCGCTCTCCACCTGGCATGTTAGCTGTTATCTGCAAAGAGAGAGCCCTCTTTAAGTTATTAACTCCATTAGCTGCTTTTTTATTTATTTATTTATTTATTTTAAATTCTTGTAGCTCAGACATGGTAAAATGTCACCAGCCATGGTACTTGCAGCACTGAGTTAAAATACTTGATATTATCTCATTTTAGAGTTGTTTCAAACATCCTTAATCAATTTTATATTTCTTAGTGAAATATTTAAACTGTTCAAACAATGCTGACAGCAAATGCCAGCATCTCTTTGCTTGCTTTCTAAATCACTGCCAGTTCACTAGTTAGTAGTTTATTTAAAATCAATTAGCTAGTTTATTTAAAGTACATTTTAAGTATAAAAGGTCAGACTATTTTCTTTCCTGAAAACCTAAAGTGCAACTGAAAAAAAATTCTATGTCCCTGGGCACCATGCAAGTTGCTCATGCTAAAACAAATGTTGCAATTAATGCCAGAAAGCCTTTTTGGAAAATGTAACAGCTACTTTAACAATTTACTAGTTTAAGATACATTTTCAAAGCATTCCCCCCCCAATCCTTAATGTGGTTTGGAAAAGAGACTAAGTTTCCAATGTATCCAAATATTTAGGTGGGTGAATCTTGACAAATCTTAGGTGAATAATGTTATTTAGACACCTCTGAAAACTGTAGCTCTACTGCACCATTTTAAGGCTTGTGATAAGAAAATCAACTTGTGGATATTATGATGCTCAACTTAAAATGTTCAGAGAGCAACAAATTGGAATGAAGTGTTCCTACATTATTTTTGTGCATTAAATATTCAATCTAGAAGAGAAAATTAGAAATACTAAAACCAAAGTGTTCTCAGAGTTTTTTGTTGGGTCTGCTTTTTCTTGTTCTGATATGATAGTAGYCATTATGATATTCTGATTTCTGATCAAGTGTTTCACCAAAAAATTTAAACTTTGTTATATATATTCATATATTCACATATATTCACTGTGATCAAAACCCTGTTGTCATATTAAGAGCATTTAGTTATAACAAGATTCAGAAAACATCTCTATATGATAGAAAAGCTATATTGCTTTTTCATAGTTCTAAAAATGCATTATAATATTTTCCAGTATGTGTTTTCAGGTTTCCAAAAGACCATGTAGGTTTCCAAAAGATCATGAGTAAGAAACCTTTTGAGATAGGTGCTTAAGTCTCTGCAGAACCAGCTATCTTTTTTCTTCTCAATTTAAAACAACTTATTTTTATAGCATCTATAGTTGCAACAGTAATTCTTCAAATYTTCAATCTAATATAGCCAGTGAGCTGCAGTATTTCATCAGCTTCTCATGCTGTACTAAGCTTCTATAGAATGAACACTGAGTTCTGGGTTTTCTGAGAACTTTAGTTTTTTTACTATGTTTTTAATTTTCTGAGTTTTTATTCCTGCTGCTCTSAGTCCTTGTCAATTTTGTAGTGTACTGGGGAAACTGAATAACCAAAGTGGCTGCTCCCTGCTGATATATTGTGAAAATATATTTCCTTAAAGACAAGATCTTTCTCGTATTGACAACAAAAACAGGTTGAGGCTGCACCATAATTACTATATTGCTTTGAGCTTTGCAGTCTTGTGATCATTTCTGTAACTGTATGTTTTAAAAAAGAAAATCTGGAAGCTTTTCTTAGCCGCCAAACACAAGAAGCAGTAGGTGGGTGCCTCTGTGCACGTGGCCTCAACGTGTTGTATCTGCAAACTCACGCTTCGACCTTCACCCCCTGAATACTGACAGACTGGAAGGAGGAAAGGAATAAACCTGGAACGATGCAAGCTGCTTGCTGGGATTGCTAATAAAATGATGTACCTAAAAATGACTTTGAATCTCCTCTTATGTGTGTGTACCATTAATAGAGAGGCCTTAAACCCTGTATATTCAGTTTTTTATCTCTAGAACATGGAACGGTCCTGCCTCAGGTGAGATCTGGTCGCAGGGTTTCTTACCAGAGGTGTCACCGGCCAGGGAGCTGTTGTGCCTGCACCCATTCTGGAAGCCTGAGTGTGAGCAGAGCAGCTGCCAGGTTATTTGGAGCTTCTGGGATGGTTATTTGGAGCTTCTGGGATGAGGAGTGTAGGGGAGCTCCGCTTGCTCGTGACCTGGTGGGATTTGCCGTCCGCTCAGTGTCATTTTTTTTTCCCACATCACTCTTCAGAACTAGAAACCAAATAAATGCTGTGTTTGTTTCATTTGGTAAAGCATAGTGGGATCTATGGGGTATAATTTTAAGGTGGTTTCAGAAGTTGGAGTTTGTGATAAATACTCAGTTAATAGATTCAGTGGTTTATTTGTGGTAAAAGTATTTCTGTGGCCCCTTCAAGGGCATTTGGGTGAAATCCTTACATTGAAAGTGTACCGGGACACTTTTGAAGACTAGGACAGTTGGCAGACACGTGTTCTGTCTCAGGGCAGGCAGCAGGTGACACGGGTAACGCTGCTCTTGCACAGCAGGTAACACTGTCTCTGTTTGAAAGCTAAGCGTAGCTGGGTTAGGCTGCCTTGTGCTGGGCAGAGCTAAGTTGGCGTTGGTGGAACTTTTCCGTATGATTTACTTTCCAAATCCTAAATGGATTTGCGTCTGTGTTAAGCTGAATTAGTCCACACCAAATTGCTGAGAGTGTTGAACTGTAAGGCAATGTGCAGATCAAAAGAAAATCATTAATACTGTAGATGTATTCAAAAAGGACCTAACAAAGAAGTGTGGTGGGAGGTTGCAGGAGTCATCTGGTGGCAGGAAGCTGTGCCTGTGAACTTATTTTCTTTGCCATATAACAGAAATATTATTTAATTTAATATCCATACCATAGTATTAAAGTTCTTGATGAATTATATATTATAATATTGTTTCTCCCCTTTCTAATGTATTTAATACTTCATTAAGCTTAGTCACATAATATTAAAATAAATGAAAGGAATCTTTATCTAATCTGCCTCTTACTAACACCTGGCATTTGCAGGTCACATTTTTATTTTATTGCTACTGGCAGTTGCAACTTCATTTTTCAAATGGCCACGTGCAGCTTCTTTTTTCACAGTTGTGCTTGTCTGATGAACGCCTGATCCTGCAGTTATTTGCAGAACCGCTTACTTTATGTACATAAGTAATCCCATAGAATATGTTTGCTCTGCTTAAATGGTAAAGCAAAGCTATGATAGGGCTTTAAATCAAAATCCTCTACCAGTTAGAGTGCTCTCAAATCCATTCCCTTCACAAGAGTGGGCCCTGCTTTTACAGTCACCTTGTACCCCAACTCCCAAACCGGCCTTTTGTTTCTCTTCAGAGTGCCTCCCTGTGTGATATATGTGGAAGAATAGGTGTACATTAGGTATAACAGCTTGCATTTCAGGTTTGGGGATGCAGTTCTATTTGTTAAAACACAGGGAATCATTAATAAAACCACAGCCAACGTACAGGAAGGGATTTTTCAAGTGATACATAAAGCTGTGTGTTTTCCTTTTAGCCGGCGAACGGGATCTTCATGAGCGCCTTCCTCATCGTCTTGCCCCTGGAGTCGATGGCTCACGGGCTGTTCCACGAGCTGGGAAGCTGCTTGGGAGGCACGTGTGTTGGCTATGCGGTTGTGATCCCCACCAACTTCTGCAGGTACCACCGCACGCGCTTCCCATCGCAGCAGGAAGAGTGAACTGATGCCCAGGGCAGGCACTGCAGGGCTGTTGCTTGCCTTTTCCCGTAATTAAGCACCAATTTAAATAACTGGCTAATTTTGAATAACCTTTTTCCTTTCCTTCGCCTGTCTGAGTAACTGCAACTTTTTATATAACTTTGAATTGATTTTAAAAAGCTAATAAATGCTTCGGACATCCAACTCACGTAAGCAAATTGCACAGTCCTTATCTTATGCCAAACAGGATTAGTGCACTTGATTCGGTGCAGATATTACATGTGAGGAGATTTAATAAACTAACAGATCAATCCCTGTGCAAAATAACTTCGAGCTGTATTAACTGAGATGGTGGCTGCATTTAAAATACATTAAGATTATATTTGCCATTAGATTGCATACCAGTTATTTGTACTGTGATTTGTACTGTAACTGTACACAGTTATGTGCACAGCAGATTTTTTTGCAGTATAAATGTTCCCATATGAAAAATGTTTGGGAAGATTCTATGCTATTACTGCTTGCTCATTTATGTGTACATGTAAGAGATTCAGTGGAAAATGGGAAAAGTTTAAGGGCAAAAGAAACTGAAGATACTGATCTCATTTTGTTGTGTGCAACTAGTGTAAAGTACTGTAAAAACAACGTCCTGAGCTTCCTGAAACTACAACCCTTGGGCGCCCRTTCTCTTAATTAAAAACAAAAATCCAGCAAGTCAATTATTGTTAGGGATTTTAAAAAATGTACATTATAACAGAAATAAAATAATTGTTGTAGTGGAACATAAACCTTTGTAAACAGCGCTAAACAGTTGAGGAGATCCAAAGTTTAAGTAACTAGACCAAAAAAGAAACCAGATTAAACCTTTCATATAGACTTGCACATCAAGCACATAAAGAAGATATGTAAGAAATTGTATTTTGTGTTAGTAGAAAAAGATGATTTCTGTGTTTTCATCCACAGAATCTGTGCCTCTATGTACTCCAGCATAAATTGAAATGGATTTGATAGAGCTCTCTGTTAGGCCCCTTAGCATTAGCATTGCTGCGTTGATGGTAAAGTGATGAAAGCTCCTCTCCTTCTGAGAACACRTGCTCAGGAGGACGTCATGATTAATGAGTAGTTAGAAAGACTTCCAAAAACTAAGACAGCTCTGCATTTGGGAATGTAGGGGCTTTATATACATAAAAATATATATACACATATATGTATGTATGAGCTGCACATGGTGGCACCACGACCTGGCCGAGTGGGTCTGAGCCTTGAGCAAGGAGCACGTGTTGGATTGTTGAAGCATGGCAGAAGGGACGAGGAGGCTTGACCCTTGCTCAAATACAGTGTTTTGAATTGTTTATTAACTATATATTTCAACCAAATTTGAATGTAGCGCAGTGCTCCTTCATAGGGAAGAAAACGTGCCACAGGAAGGAAGTTCCATAGGAAAGAAAGGAAACGTGCCACAGGAAGAAAACATGCCATTTGAACACAAATTCACCCATGTGTATCAGTCCACTAAGCAAGAAATGAGAATAAATCATAGTAATAACTCTTTTTCCTCTCTTTAGCCCTGATGGCCAACCAACTCTTCTTCCACCCGAGCACGTGCAAGAGCTAAACCTGAGGTCTACAGGCATGCTTAATGCCATCCAGAGGTTCTTTGCCTATCACATGATTGAGACGTACGGCTGTGACTACTCYACGAGCGGCCTGTCCTTCGATACGCTGCACTCCAAGATCAAGTCTTTTCTTGAACTTCGGACTGTGGACGGACCCAGGCACGATACCTATATTTTGTATTACAGTGGTCACTCRCATGGCACTGGCGAATGGGCACTAGCAGGTAATTCTGGTTGGACATTTCTTGCTGATAGTCGTGGCGTTGATAGACTTCCCAAATCTGTGAATTCTTTCTTATAAAAATCACACCATGTTGTGAATTTTTTTGGTTTTGGTCACATTTATTAACTGTCTGTCCAGAATGGAACAGAAACACAGCYCTGGAGAAGAGATTTGTTCAGGCTGCTATCAGAGAGGAAAAGAGGTCTGAATAATATACAGAGCCTGGCTGCTCAGAGATTGAGAGCCTGGAAGGAGMCACCACATTTGGCAGGGTTGCAGGTTGAATGGAACTAGTGGAAGGAATGAGGCAATGCAGGAGACACCTTTTCTATGCAGATGTGAAGCAGCAGCTCCTTCTTTGGCTCAGCATGGCAGTCAGGTTTGTTACTTTATGAACTGTGTCATTTTTAGTCTTTCGTCACTCTGACAAAAGTTCATTTTGCAGGTAGCTGTTCTCATAGTTGTTCTCAAAATGGTGCAAATATTGCTCATCCCAGATGTGCACTTATTTTTACAGATGGTGCACATCAGGTGTATGTCTGGTTTCTTATTCTCCTTACAATTCAACAAGTTAACTTTAAGTGTCCCTATTTTTATTTGGGTAAGTGGAAATGACATCTTCCTCTTCTAAAGACACCTTTCCCTTGTATTTTGGGAGAAATTTCCTCATTGTAAGGACTAACCGTAATATCTTCCTGTTCCTTACATTGCCCAGGAGAGCCAGCCCATTTACCRCTGAGCCCCTTGTATGACATGGTGTCAGCGAGGCTACCTGTGAAGGGCTGCTTGCTGTCTGTAAGACACACTGTGCATTTTGTAAAAGATGAAAGTACCAGAATAAACCGGCAGCAGGGGCCCAGCCCGCGCTGGGAGAGCAGCTCTTTGAACACACAGCCAGCCTTGCATCACGACCAGCACAACATCCTGCTGGCCCCCTGGGCTCGGGGGCCGCGCGGCCTCGAGGCTGCACACGCCGGCCCCAGGGGTTGGGTTAGTGCTCTGTTTGTGTTTGGCTTAGACCTCACTGTTCCTCCCCTTCCTGGTCCCCTTTGGATCTCTGTGACATGCACTTTTACCTCAAATCTATATATTTTTTATTTTGATTAATCTACTCAGCCTTTTCAGTCCTTGGTAGGTTTAGCCTTGTTCTSTTGCTGATACAGAACTGGGGGTGCTGTGGATAGTTTGCAGGTTTTTCTATCTTCTTGAGGCAGAGTTGCACTGCATGGTTTGTGCTCTGAGTTCTGCCTGTGTTGGTCACATCTCCGTGGGCATCTGCGCTAGAGCCGACAGGTCTGAGCTTTGCTGCTCGTGCCAAGCTGTTCCTCTGCAGGGCAGTTTTGATCTGGAGGCCTTTTAGCTGTTGGAGGGCAGTTTCGTGTAGGGCAGCTGTAAGATGTGCTGCGGGGCAGTGCACGATACTCGAAGACTTGGTCTGTACTACTAAAAACACCCAGGCCACAGCGGCTCCCCAGCCAGGTGCGAGCAGAGGGATGCAGCCGAGCCCCATGGGATGGCCCAACTCATGGGAAATGGAC